ATTAAGAAGAAAATAAAAGCTTTTTGTTCTCAGATATTATCGCCGTGTAATGACCAAAAGCTAGCTAACAAAAAATTAAACTGACGGTGGTTGTACATAATGAAGCATACAAGCAAATACGTAAGGCGCTTATCGCGTCAACATGCCCAACATGGCCAACAGATGGCAGATTTTGCGAGGTCTTCAAATAAACTCCATTTGCAGTTGTCGGCAACACAGTTGATTCCATCCGCTCCTGGATGACATGCTGTTTGTTATTCGAACCAGATGCCACTTAAGCGGTGACAATTTGTCAACTTTTGTGAGAACAAGAGCTCCTTTAAAGATATTGAACGCCATTTTCATCTTTGTTGGGGCTCTGAAATGTATTACTTGCTTCATCTTCTCCAAAAGTGTTGTTGAAGTTTCTTTAAGAAAAATATAGTTCATCAGACTCAATAAGCCGACTAAAACCTAATATTTTACAGGGTTCCGTAGAACCTATATTTAAGTCGAGTGAGGAATTATTATTATTGTTGTGAGACATCTTTTTTTTCTTATTTTTTTTTTCTTTTTTTTTATTGCCCTTACTTTAGGTTAACAGTATCCTGTGTTATAACGACGTTTTACAAACATAAATTTCACGCGGACAAACACCCAGTGAGACATGATCGGAGGCATAAATTAAGTATAGTTATTTTTATAATCGGGTTGACCCTTAAATCGTCGTTCAGGCGAAAACAATGCTTAGCGCGTTGCAGCGTACCGCCTAAGGAAAGTGAACAGTGATACGTTAACCCAAAATATCACAGGACTGGTTCAGTGGTACTTTAACACAGAAACGATCATCTCGTAAGACGCGTTGTATTTTTGACAAAATGCTCTTCACATATTTCCTCTTCCTCAAGTTGTCAAAAATGCTATAATTGGTTTATATATCATCATTACTATTATTACGTAAAGAGACATTGGCATTCAAATTTACATTTATAAAAACGGCTTATTGGAAATCGAATACAATAACGTGATTTTCAATTAAAAGACGTTTATTATTAAATCGTCCACAATCTACAGAATAATAGCTCGCTGCAAATTCTATAGATAGGATGACCACCGCGGCTGTTCCGTCGAGCGACGCTCGAAGATAATGAAAGTTATTGATGTCATCAATAGCGTTATTTGAATAATTTAGGCTAGAAAATGTATCATGAAATTCTAGTTAATTGTTATACGACCTGCTGAAATAAGGGAGCTGTATGGTCGGCAACTTCATAAGAATATTATTACTATTACTTGAAAATTCCTTTTCACTAGCGCACTCAGTATTGGAGTTAATAATTTGTCGAATGAGAACGTTTTTTTTTTCTTTCGCGAGAATTTTATTCTTCTTCTAAGGCAGTTGCCAGTTCATATGATATCGCAATGACACAATAATGGTAAAGAAACGAATGGTTACAAAGAAAATCTAAGAATATCTTCTGGTTGTTTATTTTTGCCCTGCTTTTATAATGATATGATGAAGTAAAAATAAGTTTTTCCGTTTTCGAGATTTTGACTTTTATCGCGAGAATTTTATATCAATAATAATTATAATAATAATAAATAAATAATATTTTATATCAAAAGTATATAATTTTATATAATCTCGTTGGCTATACCATTTGTATCTGGCTGGTTTTGGTATTATTAAAAAGTTTAAATTTTAAAAAAGATAATTCCAAATTTAAATTAGAAAAATGTGTGATTTCATTTATTTTGTTTTTCTTACTGTTAAGATGAGTGATAATTCTAATGAAGAAATTCGATACATTTTAAAATTTTCCTACAAAAAAGGTAAAAATGCAACGCAAACCGCAAAAAAATTTGTGATATTTATGGTCCTAGTGCAGTGTGAGAATAGCACAAATTTGCTTTAAGCGTTTTCAATCTGGCAGTTTTGATGGCAAAGATGCATCTCGCTCTGGGCGCCCTGTTATGGATAAAATGGATGCTATTTTTGAAAAAGTGGACCAAGATCGCCTTATCAGTAGTTTCGATGTAGCTGAAGAACTGGGAATTGACGACAAAACAGTTTTGGCGCATTTGAAAGAAGCTGGGTACATAAAAAAGCTCGATATTTGGGTGCCTCATGTGCTCACTGAAAGAAACCTAATGAACCGTGTACTCATTTGTAATTCTTTATTAAGACGTAATTAAACCGAACCATTTTTGAAAAAACATGATAACTGGTGATGAAAAGTGCATCACGTACGACAAGAACGTGCGAAAAAGGTCGTGGTCAAAGGCTGGTCAGGCTTCACAAACTCTGGCAAAACCCGGGTTATCTTGCAACAAGGTAATGCTGTGTGTATGGTGGGATTGGAAGGGAATTTATTCATTATAACATATTACCGCCAGGCAGGACCATTGATTCTGAACTCTACTGCGAACAACTGATGAGCTTAATGCAAGAAGTTGAGGGAAAGCGGCCGAAATTAATCAACAGAAGGGGTGTGGTTTTTCATCATGATAACGCTAGATCTCGCACATCTTTAGCCACTTAGCAAAAATTAAGAGAGTTGGAGTTGGAGGTTGGAAGTTAAGAGACTGGGAGGTGTTAATGCATCCGCCGTATACTCCTGACCTTGCACCTTCAGATTTCTACTTGCTTCGATCTCTTCAGAATTCTTTAGGCAGTGTCAGGTTAACATCACTGCCAAAACCACTTGTCGCGGTTTTTTTTATCAGGAACCCCATAATTTGTATAGCAATGGGATCATATCCCTACCTACAAGATGGCAGAAAGTTATCGAACAAAATGGAAACTAGATATTTTAGTTAAGTGTAAATAAACTTTATTAAAAAATGTTTTGATTTTCATATAAAATACGAAGAAACTTTTTTCCCCAACCTATTACTTTTGAATTAAGGAGAAAATAAAAACTTCTTGTTCTCAGATATTATCGCCCTGTAATGACCAGTACTTAACTAACAAAAAATTAAATTTACGGTGGTTGTACAAAATGAAGCATACAAGCAAATATATAGAACCGCAACTGCGTGCGGTATAATTTTGTAAGGCGCTTACAAATTTTTTGGCGCAATACTATTTTGTTGCTTTGTGTTCCATTACCTTAAGTTTCTCCGAATCCATTGTCTGATTGTTTTATATAGCTGTTAGGCCTCCTAGTATCTCATTCAGCAAAAATAAAGCTAAAGCATAAATATTTTGTGTGTGTATTGTGAAATGGAATATGTTATGAAGTTTAAAAACGTCGTTTAGTATGACTATACGACGTTTTTAAACTTCATAAAATATTTTATATTTAAGTGTTACCCTTAACATTTTTTGGTTTATAGGATTTCTGAATTGAGTGACCTGTGTGACTTGTGTGAATACAGTCACCTGTGTGATTTGTGTGACTACAGTGACCTGTGAAATTTGTGTGACTGCAGTGACCTGTATGACCTGTGTGGCTGCAGTGACCTGTGTGACTGCAGTGACTTGTATGACTGCAGTGACCTGTGTGACTACACTGACCTGTGTGACTAACATGGACCCCGGTTACCTCATTCACCAGATAAGACACAGAAGCATTCAGAACACTTCCATTTCATGCTTCTAATCCTAAACAGGTGACGAACTATCTTAAACAACGACGAAATAAGCGTTTCATATTAAAATTCTACCTTTTTTCAAATTCTCATACGATGTATTGCTATAGCCAAACATCAAAAATTCTTATCAGTCAGTTAGTAGGTCCGTCATTTAGGATTGATTAAAACAAGTCGGTACAAATCAAACGTAATGCTTTATTTTACAAAGACTATAGTATCGCCATCTAGATGTTACACTAACTGTAATTACATTATACACTAAGAGACAATGCATTATATACAGATATTCAACATTCAAATATAATTATTACGTAAAGATATAAGGCACATTTAAAATTTTCCTATCTCGATACGGTTTATGAACTATAATTTTTCATTTTATCTTTAACATCAAATAAAAAATCTCAAGGAATAAATCGCAACCTCATTACGTTTTTCGCAGTAATTTAAAAATTAGCGGCAATTGCGACTTATTTAAGTCACTATACATTTCATGATTTTCTGTTTAATTATGTCCAAATCAAATATTTACAAACAGAAAACGTGATGGCAACATTATGTAACACCAAAAACAAAATAAAGCTTATAAATCCCACTTTTAAACTACTAGCTTAGCGCCGTTAGGTAAATCACCAGACATATGCAAATTTATTCCAGTCAAATATATACACACAGTAAAAAAATCTACCATGTCATCTTATCATAAAATAAAAAGCTTTTTCAAGTGTATTTTGCACTTAATATTTAATTAAACTCAACACTCTGATATCAAGATTAGAAGTGAATGTAAGGATAGGATAGGAAGACTGAGTGGCAGTTAGTTAAATTGTAGGTGTCATAATAACTAAAAATGGAAAAATACTGGCACTTTAACAAGATGTCAAACTTAAAATATTCAAAATAAAAGGTATGATAAATTACACTAAAACCTATTGGGTACAGTTAATACTCCATGAAGAATACTATCATCCTGAAGCGCTATTATTACAGGAAGAGGTCTGGCTTATCAAATTTCCAAAACATTCTTATTGTGTGAGAATGTTATTTCAATTTTAGAAATTAAAGTCAAAAGGTCAAAAATTCAATAATAAATTTTTAACCATTCAACAGGAATTTGAAATTTAACGATATTATAGGGAATTTGGGCGTTTTAGAATCCCTGATAATCGTCTCTAATATAACTACGTTTTTTTTTTAATAAGATAAACCTTTTTCAATTTTGATATTAGATCGCTTCAAATCGAAACGGACAGTTGTATAACATTCATATATACCACTTATGTTGACTAAAAGCACTCGATGCTTCCAACAATTGAGTCGCGGCGAACGCTAAGAATGCGTCTAGGAATTTGTTTCGTTTCTAAGCGGTCCGTGTCGCACTGCACGTTTCATATGAACAGCACTTCGTCGTACATTTCCGGCTACTCGGCCGTAAGCTCCGGACTTAACCGGTCTGCGTTGAAATTCTCCATGATCCACATTTGCCTCGGCTCCGCTTCGCTGCACGTCTCCATGACGATCTTATCCTTGTTGCGCGATATCGTCATGCACTTCTCGCTAGAGCCGTGCTTCAATAGCTTCGTCTGCAAGTAATAACAATTCAAGGGACTGTCAAACACGTGGTGGGAAAAAAATTGGACAAAAAGTTTTTCGCCGCGGCGGGATCGAACCCACGTCGTCCGGAATCGCCTCCAGACGCTTTAACCGCTAAGTTGAACGGCTGATAGGCACAGCACAGGGTGGTAATCAATTTTACATACTGCTTTTATTAATGGTACACAAAAAGGTAAACTAAATGTGTCTAATCTTTTCTATAATCAACGTGCACCGACCTCAGAGCATATAATTGAGGATAAGATGATTAGATTATTGACATTACTGACATATGGAAAGGTTATTGCAATTTATTGAGTAATGTCAAATTTATCTTTATCGCTATATTTTATGAAACAGCATTGTAATGTAAATTTTTTTTGAAATGCTTTTTATAATATATTCAGTTAATTATCATAGTAGAATGTTAATATAATAAAGTCATGCTACATCCCCTTCCCCAAATCTAAAAAAATTAAGCCAGTTTAAAAATTCAAAAAACAAAAGAAAACATTACCCTTATAGGAAAGGTTTATATACTATAAGAAGTTAGATTTTGCCTTATGTACTTATGAGAAAAAATAGTTTATGATAGACCAATGAATGATTAATTTTTTATCTTTCTTCAAAATATATATACCCGTCCTTTAAAGCTAAGTTTCATTAAAATTCAATACATCATGATTAGTCAGAAACTTAAAATAGATGTTAACACTTATAAATAATCCTAACGGCAGTACCATTGTTTAAGAACTGAAGTGTTTTCATTACAGTCTGGGGGTCTATAAGTTTCTTCTTCATTATTCACAAATTTCAAAATAAAAGTATATCTACATAAATCAATTCAACTACTCGCAATTTATGATGCACATAACTAGTTTTAGCTTACGTTGTTAAGGCGTAATAAAAAAAAACGGTGTGATAGTTAAAGCGAGAAAATGAAAATTTTAAAGCTTTGCTAACTATATCAAAATGCAATACTTGTTAGTACTCTATCATTGCAGAATTCAAATATCCAACGCTACCCAACTTACCAAAGTGTATAAGCACCAACATACTAACTACGGATGAAGCGAAAGCACTGTACATGTTAAACGGCGATGGTGTCCTCTGACAAACCTGATTGCCGTATTCCCCGTGGCAAGGCCACACGTTGACGGGCTTCTTCATGTCCTCAGGCACCGCACCCGAGTCGATGCACATTTCCGTGGAAGGATTCGCGATCTAATGCCATCGGTAATTTTTTTTTAAAAAAGGCGTGCCAAAGCAAGCAAGTGCTTGTAGCCTCGTCACACAGAGCTATGGAAACTTGTGATGACAGGGTTACAGTGCAGATGGATGATACGACTAAATCAACTACCTACTTATTCTTTATATTCGAATAAGTTGATATATGATATTGTACCCAAATTAATGCCAAGGTAAAACCCACAAACGTTCTCTTTACGTTAACCGTGGTACCTGATTACCACCGTTGCGATGACACTTGTGGATCATGATGGGTCCCGTGGCGTCAGCAACCTCTTCTAAAGTCTCCCCATCGAGACAGTATTTTCTAGCGAACGCTTGATTTCGAATCTAGCATGCATCGTTACAAAAAAAAAACATCAAGAACCAATAAATCATTCCGTGCTGTGAGTATGATGCAATGTGTTCAGAAATGTGCTTGGAACGGGAGGGTGCTATAGCGAACAAGAGGATCGAATCGATCGAAAGATCCCGACAAAAAAGACTTCTCAAACGGTGGTACTGCCGCCATGATGCCAATTTTGAACGACTATAGACCTGATTTCCTCCCTGCCGGTGACACGGGTATAGTCCGACTGGCTTATGGTGGTCGGACTTGCGCGTTGGAGAGTCCAAGCAAGTCTTTTGGAAGCCGACATTTCTGATCTGCATATACAACAATTGGGAAGGAACAAGATTATAGTTTGCACTCGTTATTTTTGTATTACCCGTAAAATAGTTCGTTACAAATCAATACCTATGTTCGGTTAGAACTTTAACCACAATAAAAATAAAATTATTGTAATGATGTCTGTAAAAAAACTGCATGATTAATGTAACTTTTCAAAACTTTTATCCTTATAAATAATCAGAAAATTGTTCTATAACATACCTCTCCATGCGCGACAGACTCTCCAGGAATAAATAGTTCAGGGTATATATTCTTCAAATACCATTCGAACGACTTGCACCCGAGATTCTCCCTAAGCTGTTTCCTGCTAGTAATATCACCATAGTCACCTTTGTCATTACCCACTCTTTGGTAATAATACTTAGCATAGTCATCTAACCAGACCTGAAACAGTTCAGCTGTTATTACCAACTTTTAGATCAGACTAATCGACGTACAAATTGTGTACTGAAGAATTGCAATACCTCCGCCAAACGGACTGAATTCTTTTTCAATACATTAACGCCGGTCCGCCATTTGTAAGGTGAGCGTTTCCTGAAGATGTGACCGACGTGGGAGCACGGAACTATTTCCAGAGTTCCGCCGCACATCCACGTTTTGAAGGATAATTCCAGGTTTTCCCCGCCCCATATGTCAAAGCCGCTATCGTAAGTGCCAAGCCTTTCGAAAAATTCCTTGTCGATAGCAAAGAGACCACCAGCCATTGTTGGAGACCACACGGGCTCTGCTGTATGTTGGTGTCTCGCTCTTTCCCTCGCCGGTACTGGATGCCAATTGAACTGGAGATTCCAGTCGAAACCACCGACATTGACCGAAGATGAGTCCCTATAGTGGTACTCCAAAGTGTTATCATCAATGACATCAATGACAGGACACACAACTGTGGTTTTGTTTCTTGCGATTCTATCTAGCAATGGCTCCAACCATCCTGTACAAAAATGAAAAAAAAAATGCGTTAAGAAATGTGAATGTTTATCAATCATTCCTTATCCATTAGCTATTTTAGCTTAAAAACTTAAAACACAACCGTATTTCAGCGTGAAATTTATGAAAATTGAGTTTGCCCCGAAACACAATTTAAAAAAAAACTTGATGGCTATTAATGACTCGTGTTGCGCAGTTCCTAAGTTATTTGCTGCCGCGCCGCGAGTCGTAGATTAAATTCCCATAGGGGACAATTAATTCTCGGAGTTACTAATAATTGGCCCCAGATATTGATGTTTGTCCATGTGCAATTTACGTATGTAAATTGTCCTCACAACACAAGATAATGTCGTGCAACTGTTAAATATAAACCAAAAATATTGGCAAAAAGCAGATATATCAGTCGATACTTAATTACCTTCAGTACACTCGCAGTGGCTGTCCAGATAAGTTAAGACGGGTGCTGTTACGTATCGAGCTCCCAAAAGCCTGGCCCGAATGAGGCCCTCGCGACGTGTCGCTCGAACTATTCTTACTTTGGGCAGCGATGACATGTAATCGTCTAATTGTTGCATCAAATGTGCTGCAAAAGTTGTAAAATGATTATTAAATTTATCATCATCGCATGAAATTAAAAATTAGCTTTATACTAACAGCATTATTAGGGTCAAAACAAAAAAAAATATGATTACTAAAATTTAATTAAAATAAAATAAAAAAAACTAAGTCTAAACTTAAGTAGTTCATTTATCATTTTAATAAATTTACATTTGCTTAATTTCACAAGTTTGATAAACTTTATACTACCGATATGTTGTTAGCGCGCCCGGAGTGAAGTGACAAAAAAAGAAATAGGCAGCATATAAGTTTAATATGAGGGCGAGAAAGACAGATGCAACTCGATTTAAACCTTAGGTAACAAAAACTTGCCATCCTCATTTTTCTTATTGATTTAATTACGCTATATAGATATCTAATATAAAGATTTATATATATAAAATTACGTGTCACGTTGTTTGTCTGCAATGAAAACCTATATACTACTCCTCGATATAAAAACTGAACCAATTTTAATCAAATATTGCACACTGTGCGGCGTTTGATCCAACTTGAGAGACAAAATAGTTTATATCTCAATTTATATTCGTTATATTTTTAATTGCAAATATTTGTTTATTACATGAAAAAGAGTTATAATTATCTGTGAGTTCTTTAAGATTCTAGCAGATGGCAGTATTGGGTAAATTTATCGGCTGGGTTCTGTATCCAATAGATGGCGCAGACAAAGTTGCGCGGGCCAGCTAGTTAAATATATACCATTCGAACAAAACGCGTTAATGTGTGCTGTCACTCTGTTTCGAAATATGAACACTTTCGACCGGTGATTTTGTAAGCGTATAATATATATATATATATCTATAGTAGGTATGAATTATCATTCTTGACAAGTGTCAAAAACTTTTAAAATTGTTAGAAGTAACTTTCAACTCAAAAGCATGTTTTCATCCATGTTTATCAACTTACGCATGTCAGAAAAATCATCAACAAGAATGATCTCCTTTATTAAATGAGCTGGCGATCTGTCTAAAACCGAATGTACAGTTCGAAGTAGCACCGACCATGCCTCGTTATGGAAACATATCACAACAGAAGTTTGTGGAAGATCTTCCAAATAACGACCCGGCTTTTTGCACCTGAAAATGAATTTATATTAATACTCTTCCTAAAATCATTGTAATATCACGTCATGTATGTCACCATATTATGTAATATGAATAAATGAATTTAAATTACTTTAAGTCTGACCCGAAAAAAAAACACATTTTACGTTTGTTCCTATGAAGTGTCCCTATAGCATTAGAAGGAATAGCTACTTGCCATACCTTTCGGGATGAAGTAACTCCTAAGCTAATAATTTTAAGCCATATAATGATCGAAAGAAAAAGCAGCGATTAGACTATACAATAATTATAGTCATATTTCAGTTAAGATCTTTAGTAAGAACAGGTGTAATTAATCTCAGTAAGATAGTTAGGACCCTAATTATTCGAGATTGACGACTCCCGATTGCCCTTATTCCTTACATAGACAGTTAGGGCCCTTAATAAGAGCCGGTGTAATCTCAGAGTGGCCTAATTTAGCGCGCTCAATCGCTGCATGGCGTTAGATGCGAGCAGTCGTGTCAAGCAAAATTTCCTTTATGTGTTTCTGACATCTATAGATGACCCCGTATGTTTCTGGTATAATTGTAATATTATACTTGAGATAAAAGTGGTTCACATATCAAGGAACTGAACTTCAGATTTTATAATGAATTTCTTGTCGTAAATAAATCGCAATGTTAGTGTAAATCGTTTGTCCGCTGACATTTTCTCTTAGTATTGTGTCCTCTTTTCGTGTATATTTAGCAATATATTCATAAAATTACTAAAACTTTCGTGAGACATTAATAATAAGACAGCTAAGCTCATGTTAAACCGGTGTATGTACTGACAAAATACACAAACACAACTGGCCTTTACGTCCTGTTGTGAGTCAAATCGATTCGCCTACTTACGTTCATGTTACATGACAAGTATCTTTGAAAATCAAAATCCATAACGATGCGGTTTTAATATGGTCAGCTTTGAGAGTAGCGTCTTTATTCACCAGTGTAGCAGTAGCAGAAACTAATGATATAATAAAATAACAACTAGTTGCAAACACTTTACCTATTGAGTACCTGGGATCGATTGAGTTTTGCCTTACAAGCAGCTATTTTCTCTGGCGAAGGGTTTTATCTACAATTAGACGGAGTAGCGATGGGCTCACCAATTGCACCGGTTGTTGCCAATATATCTATGGAACATTTTGAAGAGGAAACGTTGAAGAGTACGCCATTAAAACCAAGATACTGGTGGAGTTACGTAGACACAGTGTGTGCCATAGTTTCCAGACAGGGTGTTACGCAACTATGGGAACACATGAACAAAATACATCCAAAGATACATTTTACAACATAGGTGAAAAAAAAGACAGAACTCTCCTATTTTTGGATGGACTAGTGAAGCGGGAACCCAATGGAAGTCTGGTACATAACGTATTCAGGAGACCGACGCATACGGTATTTAAGAGCACCTTCACCATCATCATCCGTCGCCTATCTTCTGTCAAAGTCAAAAGTCAAAGTATCTTTATTTTATATAGGCTTAAATTAAGCTCTTATTGAACTTCACCAAAAACTCTACCACCGGTTCACTAAACTAGACCTGAAAAGAGAAGAACCGGCAAAAAAACTCTGCAGTCTTGTTATTTTTGCTATTTTTTTTTCTGTGCCACGCACTCTCATTAATCGTATACTTCGTCTATGCGATTCTCAATTCCTGAAGTCGTAATTGATCGACGTGCGACAGATATTAAAGTGCAATGGCTTTAGCTGGCGAAAGAGTTACCGTCTGGCCAACACAAACAGGAAACAACGGCCTTGGAATGTGGAGCGGAGCAAGGTGTATTTACCATACATGCGAGGGGTAACAAATCAAATTGGACACCTGTTACGCCGTAGATATAGCATCAGCACAATTTTCCGGCTCACGACACAGATAAGATGTCTCTTATGATCACCCAAAGATCATGACCCTATAGAAAGCAAGGGCGTCTACGAAATCCAATGCGACTGCGAAGACGAACCGAACGAGCTCACCGAACACATCCGCAGTGTACGAAAAATGGACATCAATATCTCGACGGTGGCAGAGCACGCACTTAACTCCGACAGCTCACATTTCATCAGGTTCGTTAAGGTGAAAGTGCTAGCCCGTGAAAAGAAAATCGTATCACGGAAGCTCTCAGAAGCGATAGAAATCGAACGCCGAGCTCATTGTATTAGAGACAATGGATGGGCTCTGCCACCCACTTGGAAACCCGTGTTGAGTATCGGGACACGGAATACGAACGATAGTACTAGCAATTGTGTAGTGGACATAGTCAGTACATTTTGTGCGCTCCAAAACACCAATAGTGATACTATACCAATCTCGCTGGATTCGTCAAAATCGCCGGCGCAACCGTGCGCTGCTAGCTCAGGCGCGCAGTGCGAGACGGGGCGCGAGCGCGCACTAATCACACTCACCCTGATGAAAGACAGCCAATGGATTCGCAACTAGTCGGTACATACACCGGTTTAACGTGAGTTTAGACGTCTTATTATTACGTAATACATTCATGTCCATTCTCTCGTTATTTCTGAAAATTTCAGAATCAAAACGCTCCAGCATGTTTATATGTGACAATTTATTTCGTAGAAGTAAATATTTTATACCCAGGTCTTCTTATTTTTCTCACATTATTGCACGCATACCGCGAAGCAGTTGAGGTTGTGCTCTCCTCGCGACATGTCAAATCAAGCAATTTTTTGCTCTTTAGCTTACGGATTACCGTATTAGTGCTAATTGTTTAGTTTAGTCATATTATATGAGTAGATGCATTATAAGAAATTAGTTTAAATAGCCTATCGAATATTGTATAAAAAAAACATTTTTTTTTGCTACTTAAAGAAAACTGAAAAAAGGATGATTAAATGGACGTCCCTATTATTCTTACGAGATGGTCACGATAACTCCGAAAAAATGGACGTATAGAGAACGGGTTTTGTTTATTATCTTCGGAATAACATCAAATACCCTAATATAATTTTAAGAATAAAATGGTTATTAAAATGAGTAATTGGTGTTTTTCATATTCAGGTTAAATTATATAAATAATAAAATAAGTCATATTCGGCACGATTTTCCCAAACTTTTTAACCCAGCTACGGCGGCAAGTGCAACACCAAGTTCTTGATATTTTTATTACTATAGTACCATAATGATATGTTTAACAAGACTGATTCTCCCGAACACCAACGACCGACTGAAATTGGCAGCCTAATTAGGGCAGTGCACAATGCCTGTGCTACAATTTCCAGGACCTCAATTTTTGGGGCCCTTATTATTGTATAATCTAACGCTGCCTTAGTCTACGTGGAAAACACGATACTAGATAGATAGGATTTTAATTCATTTCTAAATCTCAAAAAATTATGCAACGACACCAAAGATCGAGAATGATTGAGAAAGAAGAAACTCACCACTCGTCCCTGGGATCGGGCAACTTCCTCCTTATGGAGATCAGGTCGCTGACGTACTGGTTGAACGCGTTCTTCTTCCACCCTTCGGATACGGCGAGTTTCGCGTCCTCGCTAATGTTCTTGGGCAGCACGACCGGTTGGCCGAGTTCGCCGGGCGCGTTGTCCGACCCTGGGGCGGCGATCACGCCCAGTCCTACGGGATGCGATCGATTAATGTCGATCGAAGGACGACGTCCCTTCGAGACGGGCGTGGGAACGTAGCTCGTAGACAGGTTTGACAAACTCGTTTTTCTATTTAAAACTTCGTACACACTCAAATAGCAGTTGCACCTGCTTATGGCATTCGCAACCAATCAAGTATCAAGAACAAAGAAACGAAAATTATTAAAATGGTGCCAAACAAAATAAAGAGAGATAATCGAGATAACAACATTTCAAATGGCTTATTTGTTTATAATTTAATCTTTATTAAATTATAATTATTATATTTAATCTTTATTAAATTATAAACAAATAAGCATGTAAAATGTAATTAGTTAGATATTGCTAAGATTGCTATTATTCGTATTGATCAAAATTCTAAAATAAGGTGCTGTAGAAAATTTTAAATAGTTATTGCTATGCTTTTATCCCGATTTATATTTTATAATCTTATTGGAATGGATACAGACGTGTGTATACCAACCAAAATTTAGGTAAATAATAAAAGTAAATAGTATTTTATAATATAATATATACGGCATAATATTACTTGTCCATCTGTCGTGATTATTTTAATGTTACGTTATTTACGTTAGTACCATCTGTCGTGATTATTTTAATGCAAAATTTAAATACAACATGTGTAATTTAAGCTTACTTATTATTAAAGCTCCAATGTGAGTTATCAATTTGATGAAACTTAGCACTACAGTATGACTAATGTATAGTATAAATTAATTAAGCGATTTCCTATGATGATGTGAATATCAAAGGCTGCTTAAAATGAAACAGTTTTACGGATTTTATTTTAACTTAAAATCTTTGCATTTCAAAAGCTTCATGTGGCGCGTGGCGTATAAATTGAGTTCATATTGGCTCATATTCATGATAAGACTTCATTCCGACCATTTAAATATCAGGGTGATGTAAAACGGTTTCACTTTTTACTAATTTATTTTTAATCAAGCAATAATTATTACCTTCAGGAACACCAGCGATCCGACCAATCCAGTCAATCCGCGTCCGCGCTGTTACGAATAAACGCATAGTATCATGCATATTGTTATGAACAAATTAAACAGCTGTGCCCGTAACAAGCAAACATGCAAGATTTCGTAAGTCACAGTAAATAACGCATACAATGTATTAAGGAGCGGCGAAACATCGCTTTGAGGCGAAAGAGGAGAGACTGCGTTCGATATTCATTCGAGTTGCCCGTAACGTCTTTCCTCATTAGCATTTCTATTGCTCTAGCCATTCGAGCGACAACCGTTGCAATTGAGCCCCCGAAAGGAATGTAGATAATTTAAGATTAGGGGAGGCTTGTGATTTATTAAACCAGCGAGAATCGCGTGACGATAACGTGGAAGTAAACAATCGTGGGAATAGATTTTCTAAAGCAAATGATGTATACGATGAGATAATATTATAAGGCAATAATCGTCCAAAAAGTGTAAATATCTTCGAAAATTAAATTTTAAGTGATAGTAATATTATTAAGTTAAAAATTAAATGAACAATCATAAAAATATGTTGCTTCAAAACAATATTTCGCTGTTATCTTTCTTGCGATTTATTAAAACAAAAACAAATCGTGCATCTAAGAGAGATTCTCTTAAGTACAATAAGTACACAAACGAAATAGTTAATAAAAAAGTTATGCCTACACCAATATGCGCATGCTGCTCGTACTCAAAACTCCTTACCATCCGACAGATTGTTTCCATACGATTCGCTTTTCTTCTTCCCGGAGGTAGGCTTAGCCATTTTCAATGGTTTCGCCTCGGTATCTTCATACTCCATTGGCGGAGCAACTATAGAGTTCCTCGCACCGCCGCTAGTCGTCAACAAAGCCACCATGAACCACAACGCCGTCAGTACTAGCACCGCTTTCAATATCAACGTACGCCGCCTCAGAAAGAACATGCTGTAGTATTTCATCTTCGCTTTTGTGTATCTTCCGTCTATCGATATATAAATTCTTCACTCACAGTTACACTAGAGTTCGTCGATCGTTATACTATTAAAAATTCTCTTCACAACGATCCTCTCTAATACTAAATGAATTAATTTATTAAGGAATTGAGCAATAATGTTTATAATTACAATCACAAACGGTGACTAGCATTCAACAATAAGATATGTATGTTGTCAGATTGTTTTCACAACGATGAGATATGCTCTCTCGATATGACAGTTTCAGTGTTTTCCACCTTCCTCTCAAAATTTTCCCCTTTATAAAAGTGTGGAACCTTTACATTCACTAGAGTGGGCCTAAATTTTTTTCTTTCTACTTCTTTGATTCATGTCTGCTTTTTCCACGCCCTCGCACAGCAAAACTCCATGTTCTTCAACTGGAAACCTGTAAAAAACGTAAGTGCATCAGAAAAACGGCAAATGACTTTTTTTATACGAATCTGTGTAAAATCTATTCAATTTTTGATTAACAAAACTTAAATAATAAGTAAAACATAAGTACATTCTATTCAATTAAATGTGTTATAAAAAATACGTTATGCTTTTAAAAAACGTAGCCCACTTTTCAACGTTAGTTGTTGGTAATATAACTAAGCAAATTATGCGAGGAAACCCTTTAAAGATAATAATCTTTTAAATATAAAATTTCATATAACATAAAAAAAAAATTCATATAACACATGACAGTAACACATTCTTATGTATTTCTTTTATATGTGATTCGAAATTCTTTGCACAATGTGACAATAAAAAATGATGTTGTATAATAACGTTGGCAGCGCCAGGCAATAATCAATGGTCTTCTAGAAGCATTACACTGACTTATTGATTGTCCAAATACTACTATCGTTTCGAAAAAAAAAAGCCAATGACCTGAGAAAAATCGGCGAAAGAAACTTAGCGAGACAATTTTTTACCATAATTTGCCAAGAAAAATGTTTAAAAATGTTCAAATGTTTACAATAAATTAAATTCAACTTGAAACAGCCTCGAGCGATCAATTCATTTCCATAGTATGTTATCGTTTAAATGCTCACTAATATAATTATAATAGCCTTTAACACACAACCGTTCCTTTACACGTTTTTTTTATTTAACAACTGATTCATTTTGAACGTTATCTCGGATTTTGTTGTAAAAACGTATACATGATGCCATAAAAGATTTCATTATTTATAGCAATCTAGATGAGAGTAGAATTAATTTATGTTTATTCCTCGTATTTATATCATGCACACTATTTCTTGAAAATTCATTCTTATCTATAAGGACAAATATATAATACATAACATTTTCAAGAACTTATTGAGAAGCAACAGTCACTATTTATATTTCTTAGTAATTATTTAGGGCCCAAGCTATTACTGCTCGACAAATTTTCTTTGGTAGGATGAAAATAATGCTTATGTGGGTCGCGCTTCCCCAAAGTAGAATGCCATAATACTGTGGAAATAACTAAAAGATACGTATCTTATCAGTCAACTATGGTATTTTTTTAAACACGAAGCCAGATGAACTAAGTCTCCTCGTCAGTATATTAATATGGGGGCCCATAGTTCCGCCAGGGGTCTATAGTTATGCCAAGGAATACAGTCGAGTCAACTCTTCCCTATATAATAGTACATCAGTTTTTAAACGTTTTACATTGGGAGTTGTAAATTTAATACATTAATGCCCGTTTTCACCGTCGGTCCCTAACATTAAGGGACACATAAACAAATTTCTATCACCCAAAGTGTAAGCGTGACACTTAAGCGGTAGTGAAAACGAAACTAGCACGTACATTTTTTAGATGTCCCTTAAAGTTAGGGATCGATGGTGAAAACGAGCATTAGTTTTTTTATTATTCAACAGCAGTTAGCACTAAATCAATGCACTACAGTGGGAGAGAGTATTGTGAACATCGTCATAATTTAAAGATTATTTTTCTTATGTGAGAATGAGGCAAGTGGCCTGGTGATTCACATTGATGTTTAGTGATAATCGTCAACCATGGACACCTGCATCACCCATAGGGTTGTAGATGCATTGCCTCCTGCGTTCGGCGACGATACGCAGAAATGTACAGAACACTTCCACTTTCCGACAGTTTTTTGTGAGTTCGAGGTACTTCCATGGACGGACCTCCACATTCATGTAACAGTGTAGACTGTTGCGTGGCATCACCACAGCTAAATGTCGTTTTACTTCAAAAACTAAAAAAGTATCATCAGCAAATAATACTATCATGTTATATGTCTATTAATTGTGATTAAACTTAGGTACTTTATGTTAATTTAGGTAGGTTTTTTTTATGTCAGGTTACATGCAGCGCTTACGATAGTCATGTTGTGACAAAGACATCTTTAAAAAGTAGTGGGACTTTCTTTAAAATAACCTCTACAAGGAAAAAAAACTTACAGTATTTTGTTTATTTTTTACCCAAAATCGACTAATGAATCTTACTTAAATGTTCGTAATTTAATCTTATAATTACAATTATTATCAATCCAAATTACTACTATTACGGTGACATTTTTGCGAGAAACTTTCTGAAAAACAAGTCTACATTGTCGCGCGGCCTATTTTCGTCCTCAGCAAACAAACTGGTTATTTGACACAAAAGGATCACTAGAAAATCGCCTGCCACGCAAAGACGAGTGAATTTCGTACCAGCGGCATATCCAGTCAACAATCAGTGATTCACAGACTTCTGATGTTCAATTGACGGATCGTTGTACGAGAATAAGTGAAAAGGAAACTAGCCTTCGTCTTTTCACATATATTTAACAAGGGCAATGCTTTTTATTAAAAAAATAAGTGGTGGGAAGGGGGAGTCAAATGGAAAGGGTTTTTAGAGCGTAAATCTGTGAGCATCACGAGGTTACGTTTTATCTGGCAAAAACATCAGTGACGACTCGACCGCTCTTAAAGCGGCAAGTAGCGAAATCTCTTTCAGGTACTAATGGTGGAACTTGGTAGTGAAGGAGCTTTTGTGTGCGGGGCGAGGGGGGCTTCCGCTCGCCGCTCGACTGATGGATTGCTCGGCTTCGCTTTGCTCGCAACATTATCGGTGCTGGCTGTCGCTGCAATTTCTCAACCGGGAACCTCGCGATTTGTAGGCGGCAGACATTTGTGAATAGTAACTAGAAGAAAAAAGGCGAATGACTAAGCAGGCGAATTTAAAATTCTGTCCGCGACACCTTTTTTAAACGGTGTTGTTGAACTTTATATTAAAAGTAAATTTGACTATGTGTGTAAAGTAAGTGTAGGTAATTAAATGTATAATTTGCATCATTTATATTATAACTATAGGTATTTTTATGCTTAATTACAGGTGGTTACTTTCTAATTAAATTAGATAAATTCAACACAATACAATAAACATAATTATATGCCATCTCACATAACTTGTTTTAACACAAAATGTCAGGGACGAGGTAACAACGCTTCATAATATTTAATAGCAATACTATAATTTACAAGATGTGTTGGTCAAATAATAAATTATTAAATGTTAAAATATAGTTTATGCGAGGCAATGATTTAATAAAAAAGTTAACAGTAATGAAGACTTATGCAATTTAAACGTATGTATCTACTTATTAAGCTGAACTGTAAGTTTAAGAACAAGAACATTTGAACGACATTGGGATGAACTACAAATACAGATAATAAATATTTCTGACTTCATTATTAAAGCGGAATAGTATCGTCCTAATAAATATTGATTGCTAAAATTAATCACGAAATTGCTCGTGAATAAATGCATGCAAAATGTGCATTAAGAAAACTTGAGAAGACCTTGGCCTACCTTTCATTACCTTAAATTAATCAAGGGACAACATACATTATTTTGTTATATTTTTAAGTCGAACTTGCGATGTTAACATCAGCGTTATTGGGTTTTTCCATGTATTTCTCAGGTCCTAATATCAACGTATGATATTTTATCCACGTGCTGAAGTATGGTTCAATGTTTATCACATTTGCAATTAAACCATTTCGATGAAATTTACAGTCTTTCATGTCTACAAATTTCAAGTCTCTTTGTTCCGAGAAAAGCTTTATAGTGATTTTCAATTTGTGCCGATATTCAATACACTTAAAATACGGCTCACTTCAAAGAAGGTCAACTGAAAGCCGCCTTGAATGGTTTATCTATATAATGCTGTGACCTTTTTAATCCGACACACGTTCGTACCGTAACCCAATTTTCGTAGGTAAAATTAAATTAGCACGCCGCCGCCGCCGCGCGTCAGAAACCTGGAAGTTTTCATTCAATTAGGCGTCATTAGGACTGCAGTTTTATGGCCAAATCGATATTGCAGCAAAAAAAAAAAAAAGAAAACCTCAAAACGTGTAACGTTAGTGCACGTTCCTCCAATTAATCATTTTAAAAACCTAAATTGCCATCCGTTAAAACCTATATTCGTGGCATATTACAAAATCGTAGGCATCGACACTTGTGCTGGATTGAAAATGGAATATTAAACAATCACGTGCTCGTTATTTTGAAATCTCGATTATTATGACTATTTTATTAAAATTAAAAAGTGTATTAACAAAACCACTTTATCCCTAAACTATTCCACTGCGGGTTTAAAAATAAGCCTAAACATCAATCCTAAATCATCGTTTTAAAACAATATTTTATAAGAAAATAAAGAAATTTATTATGATTATATAACTTTTAATAGATACGTTTATAAATAAGGTAGAAATGGGACACTAGGCGCCACAGCGAAACAGAGCGCTAATTTCCCTGAAATGGGCTGAAAAAGTCGGGGCACAATGAGCGTCGGGGAAATAATTAGAGGAATATTAAAAAAAAAACCTCGGCGCCCCATAACGGGGAAGTGAGCGATAATGGCAAATAGAAAATAAAAACGCGCAATCGCTGAGGCGGTCACGGTGCAATGTATAGCGTTAATGCCTCGCAAATGTCATTAGTAGAGCTCTCGAGGAGGGCGGAGGGGCGCAGAGGGCGGGGTCACTGAACCCTGGCCGTTGTTGCCTGGTAGTGCTTTGAGCATGCCCTAGGATACTAATACACATGTGTCGATACAGGTTTCCCGCGCTTGGATAGAACGCTGTACTAATACTGTACGCTAACTTAAAAAAAATAGTAGATCGGCTCTTAACAAGAGAACAACGACCAAAGGTTATATTAAGTATTAAAAACCTGCTCCAGTAACGAAGCTGCCAGTTTTTTGTACGAAAGTAGTGGTAACTGATTGAGAGCGTCCAGTTTTCAACAAATTACCAGTAGGTCTTTTGATTGGAAACTGAAAACATTAAAATACAAAGTGGATAGACAGATCATATTAATAAAACATAAGTTTTTTTATTTTATATTTTTTATATAAAATTTTTTGTTTCTATTTTTTTATGACACAGCATACA